ATGAATAAACAAACCATAAACAGCACATAGCATTAATATGTTTTGCACTGGGACCAAAGAGATGATTGAAAAAACATATGCCCAGAAGTGGTGATATTCTCCCTGTTAAACCCATCACATCCAGGCAGGTAAAGTGTGAAATTCCAAGAACAGCCTACCTAAGGCAGCAATGGTATGTTGACATAATAAGAGGACATACCTAGATAACTAAATTAATAGTAACAATCCTCTGGGAACAAGGTCCATGTTTGACGCCAGGGAGGATCAGAACATGGCCTTCTGATTTTGTAAAATTTGCTGTGTATACGGTGAATCTAGAACAAATCAAAAAGTAAGATGAATTTAATATTTATTGCTTTTAAAAGTACGTATGTTTGCACACACACATGCCATGGCATGACAGGACAATGTGCAGGAATCGGTCCTCACCATTCATCAAGTGTGTCCTGGTTATTGAATTTATGTTCTCAGGCTTGGGGGTAAACAGCTGTACCAGCTGAGTCATCTTGTAGGTCCACATTTAATATTTGACTATACTAAGCCTTCAGAAGGAATACTACCCAAGAAAGGGAGAAACAAAGTACTTGGAATCTATAAATTGTGTTTCGTTTTCATTTGTCACCTTTAGGAAAAGCAAATAAAGCTTCTTCCTCTTCCTAAAGTGGATGATGAATGATCGCTTAGTAGAGGGTGGCAGGAGCCTGTGTCCGTTATTGACATCCCATGCAAATCAGTTCATCCACAGATGCAGTCAGTGCTGGGTCTGCACACCCCAAAAGACATAGGCAAATGGCTGCTAATAATCCTAAGTCCCCCTTGAGCAGAGAGTAATATTTCTCTTCCTCTTGTCTTCATCCTCCTCCAGTCTGAGTAGACCAGCAGAGACTGTGTGAGAGGACTGAAGTCCCGGTGCTGAGGGACCCCAGAGTTCTGTTCAGGGAAGCCAGGAGCAAAGGATTCATTCATTCGTTCACTCATTCATTCGTTCGTTCATTCATTCATTCATTCATTCATTCATTCATTCATTCGTTCTTTTACAAAGACATATGGATCTACTATGGAACAAGCTTGGTCTCAGATGGAGTCCTCTTCTTTTTGGAGAACTTACATTGAAAATGTGAAAAGCTGGGATTCATGCCTTTTGCAAAGTTCTCCTAAAATTCTATTACTCTCTAGAATGAAAAGGATTAAACACAACAAAATACCGTTCACTCAAAGTTACATGAAGAGCCAGAAGATGGTGGAGAGTCATCTTGAAATAGTGACAAACAGGAATCCTTGGGCATTTCAAAGAAATGTCATCTAGGGAAAGATGGAGTGGTGGATAAATTGTTTACTGCACAAGCATAAGTATCTGAGTTCAGACCCCCAGCACTCAAAAAACCCTGGGTTACAGCAGTGCCAATATTCTCAGGACTGCAAACATGAGGATCCCAGGGTTTTGATGGCCAGGCAGCCTAGCCTAATTGGAGAGTTCCAGGTTCAGTGAGAGACCCTGCTTCAAAAAATAAGTTAGAGAACAACAGAGAAAGAGAAAGGCCACTGGCCTCTACACATGTGTGCGTGCACTCATGCACACATACATACACACATACACATACACACATCTATACCATGTTATTATGGAAAAGCATTAATTTTCTAATTTTAACCATTTTGAAAATACCTTAACACTTTCTTGAGGAAGCAGAACTTGCTTATGAATAGATGACATCACCTGTGTCTGCAGACAGGATTACATTTATTATGGATTTACCCCATGTAGCTTAAAATTTGTCTGTGTAGATCTAGCTAAGTAATTTATTTTCATTATTATTTTACTTACTTTTGAACTTGATCAAATAGGAAGACAAACCCCAGTTCATTTGATCCAAAGTTATGAAAGAATTTTAAATTTAAGACTGAAATAATTTTCCTCAATCAGATAGCAATCCTTTTCCTAATTATAGCCTAATTAATTTAAAGGTTATGATTAAGTGATTTAAATACTTTGTGACTAACATTGTGGGTCAAAATTCTGTGCTTGTTTTTATGTTCATGATTCCACTACAAAATTACATAGATTGTGATAGCAAATGAAAACATTAAAATGGAAATCTGAGCTTGTGATATGACATAAACACATGGATCAAGAAACAGGGGAAAAATACAAATGCATAAATTAGCTGGAGTCACAACTAATTTATTTTTCTTATGAATTGAGTTCTACTAGAGGTCTCGATTGTTACTGAAAAATAAAGAGGAATTTAAAAAGACAGATTCATATTGGCTTGTTTGTTTTGAGCACATTTGGGCAGAAATTAGCTTGTGTAGTTCAGACTTACTTGGAAGCCTATGGCGGGGGGCGGTTACATGCTCCTCCAATAGTCACAAAATGCGAATTCTCAAGTACAGAGTTTCAGATGACTGCTGTGAAGAAAGACGGGAGTTTTGATCTGCCTGTCTTCAGCACCAAGAAGGCAGGGAATATCACATAAGCCCCCACAGTTTTATTTATCTGATACTAAATATCCCTGTCTGTCCTTTTTCCTATACTTCCTGGTTATGAACTATTTCCTGGAGTCTGATGAATTTAGAGTACAAATAAGAATATTAAACTGTTTGCATAAATGGTCAATAAAAATCACATTGACTTGGAAATATTTTATAGTCTTAATTTGAGTTCCTTTTATTTTTATGGAGTAGTCTGTCAGGAGAAGCAGATGGTGAAATGGGAAAGAAAACATTTTCCAGTTAACAGGGAACTAGGAAATAATCCGAGAGGGGGGAACATCACCTGGTTTGAGACAATACATGGCTGTGAAACAGGGCTTCTGAATGGAAATTACCTTTGGCAGGAGGATGAAAGATTGTTCTGCATTATTGTTAATTGTGGATAGGGACACAAAGCAGTATGATCATTTGATGGCTTGTGTGTATTTTGAAAGATGACAGCCTTTTTATGTGCCAGTAAATATGAAATCACCGGGAAATATTTCTGTCCATTTAAGAGCCATTGAGCCTCCTTGCTTAATGCATGCACTAGATTTTAATGAAGCCATGTGAGTTTGTACTTAGCAGAGTACCTGATGGCCCCATGTCGTTCATACGATGGGAGACGCTGTCTGTTTGATGAGCGTGTTTGCATTTATGGATGGTGGGCAGTGCTTCTGTGGATCATAGTGTGAGGGCCGAGCCGACTGCTGTTTTACATGTACTTCCTGTCTTCCTCTTGTGTGGAGTGTGCTGACAGCCACAGCATTCATCTCAGTCATTTCATCTTCTGCAAGAAAAGGTGGTGGGAAGAACGGCATGGAACGCTAAATCTCCTCTAAACGACAGAAACAGAATCCAGACAGTGTGTCTGGCTTGCAGTCCCTTTGCCATGTGCAATGACAGGACACTGCTATAAAAGATGATGCTAACTATTCTGAAATTTTAATACGAGTGCCTCTAAATTCTTCACAGGGATTGTATGTTTGCCTAGCATTCTGCCCTTTATGTCATTACTTAATATATTCATATTCATTTCTCTCTCTTCTTTCTCTTTCTCTCTCTCTCTCTCCTAGGCTGGGCTTCAGTGATTTCTCATCATAAAACCATACACTAAGCCCATCTTTCATACTGAACTGAACTCGGGGAGTACTAATTAATGAGTCAATAGGGAAGAAGTAAATGGTAGCATTAAGGCTAGCTGTCTGGAGATGGTAGGTGCACACTTTGAGTCAAGGAGACCTACAGAGAATGGAGATTGAGGCACTTTATCATGCATTCCTAGAGGCAGAAAGTGAGAGAAAACAAGCAGTTTTCAGGGCTGCTCATTCATCTTGCTCCTGTTGTGGGTCATTCAGAGTGCTCTGGCCAAGGGGATGGGGCATCTCAGTACGAGTGCAAAGCTAACATCTAAGGCTGTGAGTTTCCTCCGTAGATTTATAGCCAGAGGCAAAAGATGGTGAAGGACATCCAACTATGTTCCCCATGGAACTCACATTCGGATCTTGCAAACTGTTCTGAGCATATGCCCAAGTCCACACAGCTACTTGGAAAACTTTTGCCATTCGTTTATTCATTCATTCATTCATTTGGCAGATATTTGTTGAGTCACAATACACCCTCAGTTTAATCTTGCTGCTGGAAATTACAATCTTGCTGTAAAAAATAAGAGAAAAGGCCATATTCTCACACAGCTTATGCTCTGGTATAAGGTATGTTAAAAAAAAACTAGTAAATAAATAAACAAGGTGATAAAGGCAGTAGGATTGAATAAATTATGAAATTATATAATACTATTAGTCAAAGCTTTCAGGAGCCCTGACATTGACTCAAAACCAAGCCAAAGGTAGGATTGCATGGTATGTTGTTAATGTGAAGAAAAGAGTGTGAGGTAGAAGAGAACGGGGAAGAATGGAGGCTGGAGGCGACCCTGTTTCCCTTTCCTACAGAAAGCAACCAGACTGGCCACGTGTACTGTCTCAAAGTGGAGTGTAGACAAGGCACAGTGTGAGGAAGATCTGGGACTGAGGGAATTACAGGAAATGTTTCAGGATATGAAAATAACTCTGGGGACAGCAAGATGGTTCAGAGAGCAGAGGAGCTTGCTGATAAATTAAAGGACTTGTGTTCAATTCCTGTAACTCACTATGAGTTAGAAGGAGAGAATCGAAGCCTGCAAGTTGTCCTCTGACCTCTACATATGTGCCACGACATACACATGTGTGTGTACATACATTAGAAATGTAAAAAATTTGAATTAAAAAAGAAAAGGGAAAGAAAAGAACTTTGAAAGAAAAGAACTCCCCCAAAGGAGTTCTATTAAAGGGGAGCGTGCACAGTCTTCTGATTTCCTCCCTTCTGACTGCTGCCTCTGTTTTCTTCTTGGTGGAAATGTCTTTGTAGCATGTCCGGGACAGGAGGATAAACACCACAAAGTGAAGGTTTTGTTTGGCTGAGCGTACTCTGCCTGGGTTTTCCGCAGAGTACGGTTCAGTTTTGCAATTTCATCTTCTGTTGCTTTTTTGCAGATTATGTTACTCACAGACCCGGAGATCGAGAGCAGTCTATTGATCAGCTCAGATGAAGGGGCAACCTATCAAAAGTACCGGCTCAACTTTTACATCCAGAGTTTGCTTTTCCACCCGAAACAAGAAGACTGGATCCTGGCATACAGTCAAGACCAAAAGGTGAGCACACTGACCTCTTTCACATTAATATGGTGGGCTAAGGACCCCTAGCTAACCACCTCTATTTTTTTAATTATAGTAGGTATGGAACATCTGTTTGCTCAGATTTTAATACTGCTTTACATATTTTTGTGTGAAACAATTCCTATTTTTTTATTAACCAGAAATGTAAATTGATAACAGATTCGTTTGATGTTCGCTCATCAAGCATAGTTGCTAATTGATGGGGAAACCCATCAAAGGCTTATGTACAATTGTGGAGGTCCTTACTATACATGTAGCGTGGTGGAAAGTACACTTTATCACTCTGCATATTCTAGAAGACATTCCAGTGAAGACAAACTTCTGATGGTTGAGGTCCTTAGTTTTATCTTTCTGTGATAAGAAAATTCAAAATTACTAATGTTGAATTTCTCATTTAACATTCATTAAATATATAGTAAAAACAAGTTTATAAAGGAGGAATACAGATTGGTTCATTTCCAAGTTTTATAGTGGCTTAATTCATGGCTGGGTATATCTGCTGGAGAAGAGAAAGAACTGGAAAGAATTATTCCAGCTACTTAGAGTGGGTTAAGAAACGGCATGGGAGCAAAGCAGACCCACAACACAGGGGTAGTTTCTGGCCTAGGCTGCCATATTCCAGTCATCCTCTTAGGTGTTTTCCGCTGTTATCTCAGTGATCATTTTTGTTCAGTGTTGATGAGAGGATCTCAGTTTGCTTGCCCAAACTATATAAGAATATGAAACAACATGCTGAATAAAGTTTAGATACCAAATGAGACAATGTGGAGAGACAGTCCTTAACTTGGATGCTGTGCTGGTCAGCTTCCCACCAAATACAAGAGTTTATAAGATGAAAAAGATCATTTTGGCTCCTAGTGGAGAACGTTCCAGTTCATGATTGGGTGATCCTTGCTTTGGGGGTGTAGAGAGTCAGCATATCATGGCAGGGACATATGGTAGCACTCAGTCACTTACCTTACCAACTAGGATACAAATGCAAGACTGACAATGATCTAGGGTGCCACAGTCCCTCAGGAGCCAAGTGACCTAAGGCCAACTTGATGAACCACATATCCTGAAGGTCCACAGCACCTACTCATAGTGCTGCCCTAGTGATAAAACTTTTTACACATGAGCTTAGGGCTCCATTCTGCATCCAAACCTCATAAATGCTGCAGGAGCTACTGACATCCCTGGAATGGGAGGAGGTTTTATGGGTGTAACTAGATGTTTACTTTTCTTGGTTAAAGAGCTATAGCTTTGATCAGATCCTCAGAGGGAAGCTTAATTCATGAAAGTTTAAGAATACTAAGGATTGGCTAAATAAAAGTGTCCAGAGGTCAATATCATGTTATGACTTTTATCCTAGGATTTTTCCTCTCTTTGTAGCTAGGTGGAAGGAGAAGTCTACTTGTTCAAAAGCAATGAGTGAAGGTCTAGTATATGTTTGTGCATATGGGTGTATAAGCCCCATCAATGTTAGGGCATATCTTATGAGCTCTATATTATCTGTATTATTTATGTATTATGGAGGCATATTGCTTTTGCCTTTAAAGAACTTTTACTAAGAGCATAAGGCTAGCAGCAATAAGTAAATTTAAAATAAAAACAGAAAATGTATTTGGCAAATATGAGAGAAATTCAAACTGTAAAAGCTAAAAGGAAAGGAGATAGGATTCTGGAATGTTCTTTATGAAATTCATCATTCAATGAAGTCATTCTGAGAATTTTTCTGAGAGGAATAATGGCTTAGAAATTGCTTGTGTTTAAAGAAATGTCCTCTGGCTTCAGAGTGCACCTGTACTTACTCATGTGCGCATGCCCCTACACAGACACAGACACACACACACATATATACAGATACATACAAACATACACACACACACACACACACATAAAGACACACAGACATAGACACAGATACAGATATACACACACACACACCATTTTAAAATAATGCTAAAAACAAATATTTAAAGAAAAACTGGGCTTCTGTGAGCAGGAGAAGATGATAGGATGTCATCTGTGTGGGCTGGTCACAATGTGTGGGGTTCTTCCTGAAGGCAGAGGAAAGGCCTAAGTCATTTCCCAAGATCTCTAGTGATAGTGGCATTTCGAAGGAAGCAAATTAACATCTTAAGATTGGAATTTTACTCATGATTCCTGAATGCCACATAAAATGCACATAAAGCCTAAAAATAGAAAAGATTCACAATTAGTAGGTGTTTTGTTTTGTTTCATTTTGTTCTTCTGAAGAGCCTGGCTACCCTTTTAGCAGAATGTACAATTTTGCTCTTGGCATTGAGCCGCAGTGCATCTGGTGCAGTTAACAGGTGAGGGCTGAGCTGCTCAGGTCACAGGGTATCAATCATTTAATTTACTGGGTTACTGTATTTTATTCGACAGTTGGTTAATTTTTCCTCTGATGCCAGAGGCATAGTAAAAGGCACATTCACCTGGCTAAATGAAAACTAAACACCTTTGCAGTTGTGCTGGAGAAGATGTACAGAAATGTAGCCCTTCAGATCCCAGAACCTGACACTTCTATGCTCATTATGGTAAAAGGACAGCCCTGGAGGAGTGAGGTCCCAACTCACCACTTAGAGTGAATGGTATTTGGTGCTGGCTTCTTTTGTCTTAAAATATGTCCCTATGGCTAATTGTTTTTGTGGGTTCACTTACTGTGTGATAAAAGCCAGTATCTTTTTATGTGCTCAGCATTGCTGAAATGTTTGCATAAGGAAAACTATGTCAGGGCTGGAGAAATGACTCAGTGATTGAAACAACTTGCTGCTCTTGCAGAGGACAGGGGTTTCATTCCCGTCACCAACTTCAGGGCTAACAATCATCTTTAATTCCAGTTCCAAGATATCCAGTGCCTTCTTCTTCCCTCAGTGGACACTGCCCAGGAGTGGTGTACTTACATACATTTGGGAAAAATATTAGCATTCATACACTTAAATTAAATAAAAATTTAAAAAATTTTATAAGAAATCTATATCCAGAAGCTTTAAAAACATATGGACTTAGAAGATAAATGAGTGTAATTTGGCTGATAATTTGACAAAGTCTAAAAGGCAGATCTCTCTTTGATGCAGAGCCAATATACAACCTGAGTGGCAGCATGCATAATATGAACTTAATGTTCAGGAAGTAGAGGCTGACTGACCTTTTGGATCTGAAGGTCATAAGAAATGACTCCACCAGGACATTAATGAATATGACAGATGTGTTAGAAAGGGCCATGGTGACTTTTATCCAAAGGAAGAGGGATAACAATATAATTATATAAAATTAGAAAAGTAGTGTTTATTGTATAAAATTTTTGTCAAAAACTGAAATTTGGTAAGGCTAACTACAATGGCCAGAGGCTTGTGGAACCTTATCTTAATTAGTTTTTGTGGTTTGGGCTGACTGTGAAGCAAACATATTTTTTGTTTCCCTGGTTTCTAGCCTTTGAGGAGTCTGATCAGGAGGCGATGAACAGAATTAATCTTTCTGTTGACCTGTCTGATTCTCCAAGAGAAAATGAAGGATAAGCCATCTGGACAGTGGGATCAGACAACCTGCTAATAGGCAGAGAGGCCTAAAAAGACCTCACTATTCCAAGATTTGTATCACAGCATGAGGGACATTATCTGAATGGAAGTAATCTGTAGCCACCAGAGGGGCCATCAGCTAATGTTATCGACTGGAGTCAAGTTGGGAGGGGCTGTAGCCAACCAGGTGGGTTTAGTCGTATGGAAATTACAGCTGACAAAAATTTATGGACCAGGTAACTTTTAGAACTGAAGAGATTCAGCTCCAGGCATCAAGAAGGACCATGTGTTGGTACTGGTTAGCCAGTACTACAGTTTCGGGGAAGGGGAACATTTGTTCTTGCATATAAGTACTGCTAGTCAATTTTCGTTTGTTTGCTTTTGTTTTAGTTTTTCCTGTCACAGTTGCTAGTACTCCTGGTTCACAGTTCCCAGCTAAGATTTTAGCCCCTGAGCAAGCATTCTGTCTGAGGGATGCTGTTTCACATCAAATTCAGTCAAACAAAGCCCTCAGATAAACGAACAAAGTTTTAGAAAACACCTCAGTGAGGCGACAGTTCATACTTACCTAAGTACAGAATCTTCCTCTCTCTTCTGTCATTATTTCCTGTCTTATTTATATTTACAGCATACTTTTCTTCTAAACACATAGCCAAATTTGTTTTTCTTTCATTTCCCTGACATTTCCTTTTCTCTCCCTTACTTAGTCTTTTTAAGCCCTGAGGAGAGAATTTGGATCTTCAGCCTGAAAAGAGCCCACATGGGCTACGGTGCTCCTCTATGTCACCTTGGATGCACAACACCTAGTGGGACCTTTTCTCCCATTTTAAGTGAATTTTTGTGAATTACATACAATATATTTTGAACACATTTAGATTCTCCATCTGCAATCTCCATTATTACCCCTTAAATCAAACAATTTCATGTACATATATATAATGATATGTGTTAGTTACTTTTCGGTTGTGATAAAGCACCATGACCAAGACAGTTTACAGAAGGAAGGTTTATTAGGCTTATGGCTCCAGAGGGTTAGAGTCCATAATTGCGGGTGGTGGGTGAGGCATGGCGGCAGGAGGTGGCCAGAGCCAAGCCAGGATCACATCTTCAAACAGGCACAGAAAACAGACAGCCTAGATTAGAAGTGGGTATGGCTGTATACTCCCAAAGCCCACCCCAGTAACCTGCTCCTCCAGCATGGCCACATCTCCTAAAGGTTCCATGACTGTCCCAAAATGGCACTACAAACTGGGGATCAAGTGCCCAAAGACTTTGAGCCTACAGGGGACAGTCATTCAAACCACCACATTCTATAGCCATGCCCAGTTCCAGTCTGGGCTCTTTGCCTCCTGTGCCTGCTTGAAGATGTGACTGCTCGGCTCTTCTCCAGCCACCGCCTGCCTCCATGCTTCCCCCATCATTGTGGATGCTCCTTCTGGAGTCATGAGCTAAATA